TTGCTTGTTGGCAGCGTCACTGGTCTCTTGACTAGAAGGTGTTGCTGATCATCCTCGACGCCGCACAAAGCTGTTCTTACTCTGTGCCAGTACATAGCTCTCCTTCTCGCTACATTGGGTTGTTAATTGTTCAATGGCGGCGCCGAGCTATCCAAGATCCCTATTCGGCTATTCCCCATATGTGTTTTATACGTATATGCAGGGATTCATGTAACCCTAACGTTGTCCCTTATGATTATTATATAATTTCACCTATAATTAGTAAATAATTCGCTTAATACGCGTACATATGGATGTGACGTATTTATGCGTTTAAAAATTTCTTTTTGGTGTCAAATCGTTCATTTTTTTCATTCATTTCATAATTCCCTTACTAAACATGTATGAATACCTTATAACACATTTAATATTAGTATTCAATGAATTAATCGATAGTTTAATGCTATTTATACATTTATTTATTTTAAAATTATTTGAAATTACTATGTTTTATTATCATTGTTTATTTCAAAATTATTTGAAATTACCAAATTTTATTGCCATTAACGTATGATTAGACATACATTAATTTACAAATGAAATAAATTACTCATGTGTATTTCATACATAACCTACTTTTATCGTATTTTAGTGAATATTGTTTCACCCCAATATCCCTCAACATTCTAAAATTCGGTTGCCATTAGATAATAGATATAATTATTATATGTAATAAACCTGCTTTGCTTTACATAGTGTGATTTGGGCCGCTAGAAATAATTGCCCACCAATTAGGTACTTGGGCTTATGTAACTTGTCCGGCGTTGTGTTGTGACTCTTTTAGTTCGATCCATACGAGATGTTCACTCAGTCCAATTACATTAGCTACACCGATTATGTGATAGATCGGGTATGGCCTTGGTTTGATTAGAGTTTGGCCAATACTGTGGTGCGTTGTAAAAAGTGTTGCACGGGTCACGCTGATTCTTATTAGGCCACGTGGGAGTAACTGGATTCGTTTTAACCCTCTCAAATCGGCCGGCGTGCCACCGGTTGTACCTGGTTCAACCTGTATCGGTTATAAAATCGGCGTGATACCACCGGTATGACCGGCATGATCGATATACGAATCTTTATGTAAAATAACCTTATTTTAGTGACTTTAATTGTTAAAAATTATTTTATTATTAATTTTATGAGTATAAATGTTAAATATTGATGTTATTTGTTGGATTCAAGTATAAATGTTTAGGTATTGACATTAAATGTCATGGTTAAAATGAGTATTTATAATTTTATTTGTAATATTGACGGCATGAACCGGCACAAACCGGTATGTGCCACCGGTCGAACCATTCCACTTGCTAAACCGGCACACTGGCATAAACGGGTTTGACAACCTTGTTGGAAAGTCAATTTTCCATGGATTTTGAAGGCGATGGATCACAGATTCGGCCTTAGGGTACTCTCCAACAACGATGAAGTCTGTAATGACCGATTTGAGAGGAAATTTGGTCGAATTATTTCGGAGGGCATTTTCGACATTTTTAGCCAATTTTTTCGAAAGGTCATTTTCCTTCGATTTTGAAGACTGCAGATCACGGATTCAGCTTGAGGCTATTCTTTAGGGATGAATAAGTCAATTGAACATGGATTCGTGAGGAAAATTTCCAGGGCAATTTTTGGCAGATTCCAAAGGGGTAACGTCACCGATTTTGGGCAATTTTTTTGAAAGTCAATTTTCCTTGGATTTTGAAGGCGATGGATCACAGATTCGTCCTTACGGTACTCTACACCAACGAGGAAGTCTAGTAATGGCCGATTTGGGTGAAAATTTGGTCGAATTATTTTGGAGGGCATTTTCGTAATTTTAAGACGATTTTTTCGATAGAACATTTTCCTTAGATTTTGAAGGGTGCAGATCACGGATTCAGCCTGAGGCTATTCTTTAGGGAGGACGATGTTGGAACCGATGTTCGCAGCTTGAGGTCTTGTATACTCATAGAGAGTTTGTTCTGCCATGCCTCTAGGTGTGGAGATTCAAAGGGAGATGAGCTACTCTCTACTTCTGAACCTTCGTCAAAGAGGGGATTTGAGTTAAGTGTAGTAAGAAACCTCTTCTTCTCCTTTCTTTTTCTTGGAGGTGGTGTCTTCTTACCTGATGAGTCAAAAGTACCACTCATATTCTCAAAACCTTAGGCAAGTCTTTTCCGTCCAAACTTATTGACTTTGGTCATGATTCGTGAAGGGCTCATGCACAGGATAGAGGTCGAATTCTAGAAGCTTCCTGCTGAAAAGTGGCACCTCGAGTACCAAAAATGGGAAAGGAATCGATGCTTCTAGCGCCCCTAGATTGTCACATATAATTTGTAGGGATGAGTGCCAAAATTTTCTCCGTGATCACTTCTAATTTTTGTCACTGTCAACTCCTTTTCAACTTGAACTTTTGTGATTAATATTTTGAATTTAGAGATTGTTTCATCTTTGTTTTTTACATAAAGAGACTCATGTAAATCTGGAGTAGTCGTCTACAAGGACAAATGCATAGTATTTTCCTCCTAGACTTATTGTTTGGTTTGGACCAAATAGATCCATATGTATACGTTGTAACACTCGATTGGAGGTTATGTCAACTTTACTTTTGAACTATTCTTGAGTCTGCTTCCCTAGAGCACAAGCATTGTAGAAAACTCTGGTTTTGATTTGAGAGGAGGAAGTCCTCTAACTATATATAGCTTGGACATTTTACCAAGAACATTGTTTTGACATGTCCTAGCTTTCTATGCCAATCAAACTGAGAGTTGTTGCCGCTAGCTACCAGACACTTTTCATGTACAACAACATCATCAGTTAAGTCAACTATATGCATACTCTCAACTTTTCATGTACAACAACATCATCAGTTAAGTCAACTATATGCAACATCATCAGTTACAGTCAGTTATTCTTTAAAGTTTGCAAGTAGATTTCTAAAAAATCACTCTATTTTTGTTTTTGAAAGTCTGAATTATTGATAACAGGTTAAATATCATATCTTCTGCTAGTAAGATGATGAAATGATATCTTACTGTGGTGATAGAGGACAACAACACTAGTTTTGAATTTTCAATTTTTAACCCAAAATATAACGAAGGGGTTGATATGTGTATATAATAATTTTTGTGTGTGTGTTTTTTTTTGGTGCAAAATAGGCTTACCAATCAAAAATCGGTTAGATTTTCTCTGCAATTTTGGTTAGTTTAAAAAAGGAAAGAAAAAGACAACAAAACATCATGAAATTACCTGCCCCGTCCCTCATTTCATCATCCAAACGATCGAGATTGATTAAAGAATGAACGACTAGAATTTTAATCATGTAGAGCAGGGGCGAAGCTAGAGCAGTGGCCGGAATTTATAGAAAACATTGTAGTATAGGTATCTCCAATAAATGAACATGTATGATAGTTGTAGTGTAGTGGTAAAACTCCAAGCTTCGTAATGGGAGGTTGCATGTTCGAACCTTGTCTGCTACATCCCTACCATTATTTTTTTTGCACCATTTTTATTTTGTAATTTAATTAATTTTAATTAACAGCTCTCGTGCTCCAAAAAACGAGAACAAAGCCCTAAGTGGCTAAATCCCAATTCATTTTCGGGAAACAGAGCTCTTCCTCGCGCGCAGGGCTTTCCCCCAAATTCTCCTGCCTCGTCATCCCTCTTCATCTCCGTTCACTCGCCGGGACTCCAGACTCGACTTCTTCGGCCAACCGGAGATCATAGTCACTCGTTCCGTCGTCGTTGCTGTTGCCGTCGGGACTCAATACTCTGCTTCTTCGCCCGATCACCATCTCATCTCCGTCCGTTCTCTACTCGCTATCACAGAGTCGTCGACGACTGTCATCTCCGTCCGTGCTTCTTTCCCCCTAAAGGTCGCCCATTGAGAGTACCTTTACTGCTCCCTCTAGTTTATGCAGCTCCAATTCTTATTTTCGGTGGTTTGTGGAATTGATAGGGTTTTTTATGTGTAATTGGGTTTTCAGTTTGGTAATTGAGTATTGGATTGACGATTGATTAATTTAGTGGATGCTGAACTGAAATTGGAGAATGAAAATTGTCATATAAGATTGTCTCAATTCTCAAACACCTATGGTAAATTAGGGGCAGGGGAGCAATAGGTGTGCTTATACTGACAAATTAGACTGAGATGGTTTTGTGTTTACTTTGAATTTGGATTACAAAATGTGTCCATGTTTTATTGGTTTGGTTCTCGATTGACAATGTTAATGACTTTAAATTTCTGTATTCTTTTTGTTAGTTACCATGAAGAGGAAACAAAAGAAGTTAGATGCATATTTTACAAGAAATGTTTTGCCATGCACTGATCATTTGGAAGAGGAAGTACAAGTAGTTCCTGGAGCTTTGAATTTGGGCATTGATGAGAGCTCTAATGTTGTGGTGAATGAGGATTCTCTCATTAGTCCGAGAGTGACTAATCCATCCTTCGCTTTAATCGAACGAGATCATGGACAGCGTAAGCCAATGTGGATATTTCCACCTAATAAACGTGATGAGATAAGGCGAGCTTACTTGAGTTATGGCCCCCTACAGGTTGAGCTTCCTGACTTTCCTAGAACTGGTGATCCTTATCATCCTCGCCCTTTCCAAGTTGCATGGTATTCTGAATTTCCTTGGGTTGAATACTCGGAATCAAAGGATGCTGCATATTGTCTCCCGTGCTATTTGTTTGCTGAAAAGCCAATTGCTGAATCTGGTTGGGACAGATTTGTTAATGAAGGGTTTCGAAATTGGAAAAAGGTTAAAAGTGGAAAAGGTTGTTCATTCAGAAAGCATATGGGAGAAAGCTCAAATTCTCATCACAATGTTGCAGTAAGGAAGCGTGATGCATTACTACACCAACCTCAGCATATTGACAAAGTGATTGAGAAGCAAAGTTTCGAGGAAGTAAAGAAGAATAGAATTCGAGAAAGCCTCAATTGATAGTGCTCGTTGGCTAGCACTTCAAGGAGCCGCCTTTAGAGCTCATGATGAGACCCTTCATTCTAAGAATCGTGGCAACTTCATTGAGCTTATTGATCGTTTCTCTTACTACAATGACGAAGTCAAAAGTACCGTGCTAGGTAATGCTCTGAAGAATGCAAAGTATACATCACCCGATATTCAGAAGCAAATTCTTCATGTGCTAGCTAAGAAGGTATGCAACAAAATATTTGAAGAAATAGGAGATTTTAAATTCTCCATCATTGTGGATGAGGCTTGTGATGAGAGTAAACATGAACAAATGGCTATCATACTTCGATTTGTTGATTCTCAAGGGCTTATCCAGGAGAGATTCTTTGATGTTGTCCATGTTAGAGATACAACATCAATGACTTTGCACACTTCGATTTGCTTAACTCTTTCTTCCCATAAGTTTGCTATTCAGAATCTTCGTGGGCAGGGATATGATGGTGTTAGTAATATGCGTGGTGAATGGAATGGTTTGAAAGCATTATTTCTGAAAGGCCATCCTCAAGCTTATTATGTGCATTGTATGGCTCATCGTCTTCAATTAGCACTAGTTGCGGCATCTAAAGATGTGACAGCTGTGCACGAGTTTTTCATAGACTTGACACATATTGTAAATGCCGTTAATGCTTCTTCTAAGAGGCATGATCAATTGGAAGTTGTTGAAGCAGCTAGGATTGCTCAATTGGTAGTTGGGGAAGAGATTGCCACAGGAACCGGTGTTAATCAAATGAGTACTTTACAACGAGCTGGTGATACTCGTTGGAGTTCATATCTGAATTCTATATTCAGTGTTATTCGATTGTATGAATCATCTTACAAAGTTCTGGAAGACATAAAGAAAGATGGATATACCGCCAAAAACAAAAGGGATGCTCGTGTAGCTTTGAAGAAGATGTCATCATATGAGTTTATTTTCATTCTACTTCTATTGAATGATATCTTTGGCCCCATTGATACACTTTGTCGTGCTCTGCAGCATAAGTCTCAAGACATTGTGAATGTCATGAGTTTGGTGGAAATTACTAAAATGGTGTTGAAGGAAATGAGAGATGAAGGTTAAGATTTTTTTCTTGGCAAAGGTCAACAAGTTCTGCAAGGAGTATGGTATTACTGTTCCAGATTTTAGTGCTCCACATTTTGAAGGTCGTCCTTGCAGACAAGTAGATACTATCACAAATGAGCATCATTATCATTTTGATATATTCAATGCTGCCCTTGATGTTCAGATAGAGGAATTGAGAGCAAGATTTGAGGAAAAGATTGTTGAACTTCTGAAATTGAGCTCGAGTTTGGATCCTAGCAATGGATATAAAGCCTTCGATGCTAATGCTATTTGCAGTCTTGGAGAAAAGTATTATCCTTTGGATTTTTCTGAGAAAGAAATAGATAGATTGGCATTCCAGTTGAGGATTTTTCATGGTGCTGCTCTTGCACATCCTACTTTGGTGAATCTATCATCTGTTGCTGAACTGTGTCATGGTTTAGCCGAGTCCGGGAAGTCAAAGGACTTCGATCTTGTTGATCGCCTGATTCGTCTTGTTTTGACTCTTCCAGTCTCTACTGCTAGTGGGGAACGAGCTTTTTCTGCCATGAAGTTAGTGAAGACCAAACTGCGCAACAAAATGGGTGATGATTTTCTAGCCGATGGTCTTATTATTTAGGCAAAATACATTTGTGTAGCCAAAACTTTCACGCTTGTGACAATAATAGCCACTTTTCGAGAAATACAGAAAATAGCCAGAAATTTGAATGTGGCATGACAAATATAGCCATTTCCGTTAAAAACTTTAACGGCGTCAGAAAAAACGTCAGTTATCTTAACGCTGTGCTTACTGAGATGTCAACTCATCGTACACGTAATCGACAATTCAGACTCAATGGACACGTGAATGACACGTCATATTTTATATTAAAAGTATTTAATTATTTATGTAAAAAATAAATAAAAAAATCTAAAATGCTTCCTATCTACTCCCCTCTCGCCGTCCATTTTCCCCAACATAATGAGCCACCGTAAACCCTTCTCCCTCCCTCAGATTGCAGTCTATCCACCGCTAAACCCAGAACCCTTCTTCCCTCTTCACTCGACCAAGAAGAACCCCATGGACTAGTAGCTTGGAAAGCGCAAACCACGAGAATGGATCTAGACTCCGATTGACCGCCGACAAAGTAGAATCAAAGATCGATTTAGCAGGTGAAATCAGAGGAGAGATCGCGAATGGAACCGCCACCGCCGAGCTCACAGTGGTGAGCGATTGGAAGCCTTCTATTGTTCTGGGTAGCGCCGCGTCGTGCTCGGGATCGATGTCGGATTCACCAACGAAGCTATACTTCTCCGACAGAAGAGGTGGGTGCGGAGAGCGAGCTCGAATCGCCGAATCTGGAGGGAGAGAGCGCACGGCGGAAGATGGCAGCCAGATCCATCCCTGTCGTGACCAGATTTGAGACTGAATTTGCGACCCACCACTGTTGTCGTCGGAGCTTCTCCTTCTGCGATTGGGACGGGGCAGAGTGATGGAGTGGGATAGGGATTGGGACAACGATTATGAACCTTCTTTGTTGCGTCGTCTTCTTAGGGCTTCGGTGGTGTTGATGTAGAAGGAAATCGGCGACGGCCCTGGAAAGAAGCTTTTCGGAATAGTGCTGGAGAAGAGTAAAGTAGAGAGGAGGAAAGGAGAATAAAGGATTTTTTTTATTTTTTTAATAATTTTTATTTAACAATAAAAATAAATGAATAAACTTTGATGGATTTCCACCTCATATTATTTTTGAATAAAATATGCCACGTCAACTACTGCTGTTAGTCCAGTCAGCACATTAAGTTACACCGTCAAAGAATTGGACGGAAGTGGCTATATTTGGTATTTCGTCAAAAGTGGCTATATTTGGCAAAATTGCCAAAGTTTTGGCTATACAAGTGTATTTTGCCTATTATTTATATTGAACGTGATATAGTGGACACTTTTAGTTTAGATGATATTTTGAGTTGTTTTATTGATCTCAAAGAGCGACGTGTACGTTTAAGATAATAAATAATATTAATATATTTTATATTATTACTATTAATTTATTGGTATGTTTGGGGGAAAAAATTTGGCCCCCCGGATTTAGAATCCTGGCTTCGCCCCTGATGTAGAGTAATGTAGATCTAAATTATTAACTTACAAATATTAAAAGAATTCAATCCTCTTACGTACGCACTAGTACAATAATGAATATGCTGTGCGTTTCTCACATTCTGCAGGACGGATAACTTTTTCCACCCTTCAATTCAATGGAAAAAAGAGCAGAAATTGGGAGAAAAGCTGTTGCGTGACGCGGTTTTGAGCTCCCCATCTCCTGGCCTGCTGCATGACAGAGATGCAACAGCTAAGCTGGAGGGCTCGAATTCGATGTCTTCGTTTTCACCCCGTAGCCACTGCTGCATGCGCTCATAGATATTCACTTCCGCAAAGCATAAAATTGGGATTCTCTCCTACGACATAATTTATTATTATTCGCTCTTTCCTTCCTTTTTCCTTTTCAGCAAGAGAACAATGAATTAATTATTTTATAAAATTTAATTTTGAAGTTGTCCCGTTTTGTTCAGACCCACAAGCCAATTTCACCTGCAGATCCTGGAAGCTACCTACGGCAAATATGGCGAATCCTATGTTTAATTATAATACGATCGATGAAGTAGTATTTTTTTTTTCTTAATGAGTATTTATTGATTATTTATAATAAATATGTATAGTACTATATATGTTTAATTGATTCTAATATAAAATTTGGGGTGTCTGAAATGAACGTATCTCGCGTGAAATAAGTGCATCACTGTCGTCTGTCGCCATTATTATTTGGTCGCTCATTTCTAGGCCTTTTTTTTTTTTTGCTTCTTCCTTATTTGACAGCGCAGGCACTCGGCTTTGAGTTGAGCAGCCAAAAGTTCGAACTGTTTTAGAGTGTGAAACGGAGGGAGATGGCTTGCGTAGTAAGTCGAGACGTTGAAAAAAGCTGAAAACGCCTTGAAATGATCATTTGGTTTTTGCCCGTTTTCTTTCTGGCCACTCCCAAGTTTATGTTAATTAATCAATCAGTTTAAGTCCTATTTTATTTCTGTCATCTAAGGACTAAAGGCATGTGGGGGTTGAGTTGCATTTCTGTTATATATATTGATCTGATTTTTACTGTTTAACCAACGGTAACAGTGACGTGACTCAACGTCATTCGTCCAAACGAACAAACAGTAAATACATTTAACTGAAATTTAAAATGTTGTCGTCTCCTTCCTTCGCCAGCTTCCCTCTGCACGGAACGGCATGCCACTCTAAAACATTTCAGGAGAACTTACTAGTACATAGTTTGTACCACCATCTCCAATTAATCGAAGTATGTCATGTAAATATGATTGGCGACTTACAACAAGCGATCCAAACAAGAAACTTCATTCCCCCCTAGTTTGATTGTGCGACACAAGCCAAAATCCCTGCCAACCACCTTGATAAAGTTGTTGGTAATGCTTGCATATGTAACCCTTGGGCCACTTCTCTTGTACTTTTTTGTTGGAAGGGTAATTTGGGGTGGGGGGGGGGGGATCCATTTTGAAGAATAAAATGTAATCTATGTGGGTAACTCATGCATAACTATTTCCCTCATTAAAAAAAATAAGCGGGCTATTATTTATTAATTTAAACTCGAGTTTATTAATTATATTCTACAAATTTACATCCACTTTAATGTATTTCAAGTCATTTATAGAAAATATTAAGTCATAGATTCACATACCAGGAACTACGAGATCACCACCTTCATTCTAGGGCGATGGAGATATTAGATGGGGTTAAAGACACATTTGGTCACTGAGATTACAAAATCGGTACATGTTTAGTCACTAGAAAAAATTAATATCAAATTTGGTCACTACAATTACTAAAACTGGACACATTTAGTCACTCGCCGTTAGTCTCCGTCCAACTCCGTTAATGAAGTCCGTTAAGTGCTGATGTGGCAAACAGAATTGCCTAATCAGCCGGATATATCCCAACAAAAATAAAACCCGACCCGCCACGTCATTATAACCCGCCACGTCATTAAAACCAACCCAACCCAACCCATGACCCAACCCTTCTTCCTCCTTCCTCCCACCTCCTTCTTTCCCCAAAACTGCCGCCGCTCTCCTCCTTCCTCCCACCTTTCTCCCAATCACGCTCCGGAGATTTCTGAACGCCTGCATAAAGGAGACATTCAGGTTACACCCACCTGTACCATTTCTAATCCCACACTGCGCGCTGGAGACTTGCGAAGTATTAAATTACAGAATCCCCAAGAATGCCCAGGTGTTAGTTAACATATGGGCAATTGGTCGAGATCCATCCGTATGGGAGGACCCTTTGTGTTTTAGACCAGAGAGGTTCGTTAACAGCGGGTCAGCTGTTGTGGACTTCAAAGGTCATGACTTTGAGCTTCTCCTGTTCGGGTCAGGTCGGAGGGTGTGCCCGGGACTTCCCATGGCAGCTAAACAGTTGACGTTAATTCTCGCATCGCTGATTAAAGGGTTTGATTGGGCTCTCCCCGGGGGATCCGGCCAAATTGGATATGGACGAGAAGTTTGGACTTACACTGCAGAAGGATCAACCTCTGTTATTTGTGGCCAAAATCTGATAGAGATCTGAGGATTTGCTAGCTGGCCATGTTTTCTGCCTGATAGTCGTACAAATTGTGGGTTAGTTGTCGGGGTTTTCTTTGAGGATATGGCTGTTCCATCAGGTAATGTGGTGATGTCGGATAAAATGCAGTACGCTGCTGCTGGTGGTGGTGGCAGTGTGGGTGGTGGCGGCGGAGCTAATGAGATCCACCCTCGACAGCAGTGGTTCCCGGTGGACGAGCGTGATGGGTTCAGCAGTGGTTCATCTCCGGAGCGTGATTGGGAGAAAGGTGGGAGGAAGGAGGAGAGCGGCGGCGGCGGCGGTTTTGGGGAAAGAAGGAGGTGGGAGGAAGGAGGAAGAAGGGCTGGGTAGGGTTGGGTCATGGGTTGGTTTTAATGACGTGGCGGGTCGGGTTTTATTTTTGTTGGGTTATATCCAGCTGATTAGGCAATTCTGTTTGCCACATCAGCACTTAACGGACTTCATTAACGGAGTTGGACGGAGACTAACGGCGAGTGACTAAATGCGTCCAGTTTTAGTAATTGAGGTGACCAAATTTGATATTAACTTTTTCTAGTGACTAAACATGTCTCGATTTTGTAATCTCAGTGACCAAATGTGTCTTTAACCCTATTAGATGGTGTATAATTGGTCTAAAAAAATTTACCAAAATATAACAAGAATTTATATTATTTTGTAAATGAGAAAAAATATATGTTACTTTTGTGCAAAAACTTTCAGAATCGAATTCAAATGAAAGAGGTAAATTGTGGTAGAGAATGATAATGAGTGGTAAGAAAACAAATTCTCAAAATATATCGAAGTAGAACATCATTTTTTTGGCTACAATGAACATATTCCTTTCGTGCAAATTTTTTTTAACCATCATATCTAAGCCCACTTAAAATTAAGACATGCCTACGGTGTCTATCCTGGTCCAACAATTGATGGTGCATGATACCAATGATGTTCATGTGGGTGCAATCTTAGACTACCTTGGTCTTCGTAGTGTTCTGTTCAATTGTTCGTATTTGCTTTGACTATTATTCCGCAAAAGAGCCAATTTATTGTGGCTTTCTCGTGCGCTTATCTAGTTAATCTACAAGGGTTTCTATGGCGCAAAAAAAAAAAAAATCAGCATATGGTCAATCATTAATGCTATAAATATGTAAACTAGCATTAAATTGCTCTAATGCTTGTTTTTATCTTCTCCCCGTTTAACCACTAGCAAGTAGCAGTTGCTTCACATTTTTTAAGATAACCCAATTCCTAGTTTTGTTAAACAAACAAGGTTAATTAACTAGCTAGCCTGTAAATCCTAATATTGATGTTTTATGGCTTCCCTTCATGGCTGTTTGACCATTTCAAACCTCAGTTTTAGTGACTTTGACAATAACCATTAACCAATCAATATAATAACCTTGCCGCTTTAACCTGAGAGATGAACCCATAATTACTAAATCTTAACCAAAGTTTGACCTTGAGGTCACTTTCCCAGAAACCATGCAATGAAGTTGAGCTGTCGTCGTCTCTTCACTCACGCTTCATGTAAACTACGCTACAAATGTAGTAATGTACTGTCTCCCACTCTTCATCTGTAAAAAATGTCAAACAACCTCGCTGTTCGCTTGACTAAATCCGGATCTAACTACCCTCAAATTGTTCACTCTCTCTCTCTCTCTCTCACCTTCCCCATCTTTATTATTATACTATTATCTTCCTCCCTCTACTTCTATAAATACCAACCCTTTTCTCCCCCTCTCCTCCAATCCCCAATCCCTTCATTCATCAAGTGAAAGTTACAGCACATCATCATCAAGACATCAATGGCCAAGAGTGACGAGGCTCAGAAGCAGCAGGCCACCAGCGACAGGAAAACAATGGCGGCGTCGGCGGCGAAGAAGTTCAAGGGAGTGAGAATGCGAACCTGGGGCTCGTGGGTGTCGGAGATACGGGCGCCGAACCAGAAGACGAGGATATGGCTGGGCTCCTATTCCACCGCCGAAGCCGCCGCCCGTGCCTACGACGCCGCGCTCTTGTGCCTCAAGGGCCCCGCCTCCGCCGCGCCAAATCTCAACTTCCCCATCTCCTCCTCCTCCTCCCACCACCACCACCGCAACACCTTCACCAACCCACCCATGTCCCCCAAATCCATCCAAAGAATCGCCGCCGCCGCCGCCGCCACCACCGCCGAACACCCAAATCCTCTCCCGTTGCCGCCGTCAGATAACTACAATCATTTTGTTCCGTCTCCGTACGCGTCGTCATCTGCCACGTCGTTCTCATCGTCCTCGTCGCAGTCCCCGGTTTCCACGCCCACGTCGGATCAGCTGTACGAGGATGTCGCCTCGCTGCCGCCGCAGTTCCCGCCTCTCGACAACAACTACTATTATGATTATGTTCATCAGAGTGTTGATCCTGCTCGTTACAACGACGAGGAGGAGCGTCGCATTGTCGACGTCTCCTCGTGGCAAGGGTTCGACGAATTCGACCAGCAGCAACAACGTCACGGCGACGAACAACTAATTTTCCCCACGTTCGATGATGACTCGCTAGTGTCGTTCGGCGTGCCTCCGGCGCTGGACGATTTTTACTACGAAGGCGATATTCGGCTGTGGAGCTTCGCGGAATAATTACTGTTTTACTTTTATTTACATACTTAAATAATTCTTAATACGATTCTTTTCGTCCTCCGTGGATAATTAATTGATCACATTCTTGTTCGTTCGTACAATTTTTTTCTTTTTCCTCTTCATTTTGATGGCTTGTTCATCAAGCCATATGTAACGCCGGATCAAAGCTGTTCAGTATTACTCTCCTTCACGTGTAGTGCCAAGGGCTTTTTTTTGTTTTTTGTTTTGGACTTTCTGAAAAGAGGGGAGAACCAAAAAAAAAAGAAAAAAAGAGAGAGAAGCCACTCACATCACATGGCTTAGCTAGGAAACGAGTTTTTTTTTTGGGACTTTTGGCCATGTGAGGGGGCTGGTTTCTAAAAATATACATGTTCACATGTTGACTGACCATCGTGTAATGTGTACCATGATGAACCATCAATCTTATAATTATTATTGATCAGTATAGTAAGACGTGTGTCTTGTACTTAAATAATGAATTATTGTCAGTTTCTTAATTATGATCATTATGCATGTATCTGAATTTTAATTTTTAACTCTAGGAATGGCTCATGGTTATTTGGTAAGTAAGATGGATTACTCGCATTTCAACCACCGATTTTTGGTTTAACAGTATTAAAGCTAAGTTAAACTCTCAGCCTCAAGCAATAATGACAGAGGCAGGAATTTCGTACCATGTCATGTACAATGTGCTTAAATCAAAGAGTCGCAACGAACGAGACACGATTTAACGTGGTATCCCCAATGATCGGGACTAGTCCACGGGAGAGAACAACTCTCTCCAGCTGATATGTTATTATGTTCTTAATGGTGGCCAGCGGCCATACAGTTGCTTTTAAACCCTTTTACATGCAGCTGAATTAAAAAAAAATAAAGCATTGAGTTCTGATTATGATAGAAAATAAAAAAAAATCAACCCAAATGCTAAACGAACTAATGGACCATATGTGAAGGGGGAAGCTTTTATTTTGATTTTGTTTGATTCAAAAATATATTTAAGTGAGTTCAATTAAATTATTGATTAGCAATTTAGTTACTATTTGAATTCGTTATTTTGATTTTTTATACAATATTTCAAGTAATCAAATTTTTAAATCACCTTTCTATTTAAACCATTATCAGTCTACATTCCAAATAATTTTAGATAGTTCCACTTTTTAAATAATTTTAATTTATTAAATGATGTTTTATTTACATTTTATTAGCTTAAATAAAATTTGACCACACTTTCGTTTGTAGAACAAGGCCTCCTGAAATTCAGGGTTGGTCATGTATGTGTGTATCCATGGTCTTAGAGTGTTGTGGACCACAATTTGAATCGCTTTCATATTCAATCTCACGAAGAAGTCCCATAAAATCTAAGATGAATATGTACGTGGTTTTTATTCATTGTGCCCATATTGATTTTGATTAAGTTTGGACTTCTCAATTCAATCACTTTCAACCAACCCACTTAACATATATAGCTAATATAATTGTATAAAAAATATTTAGTTAAGAAATAAATTTCCCAACAGATTCTTCTCTGTAGACTGATTTTTGTTTTACTTTCTATGTAACTTTTTTTAAGTCTCATTTGACTAATCATATGTTAGAGTTATTGGTGAAAGGTGAAATTATCAAGGTTCACGCGTTTTACAATAGGAACGGAGTTTGGTAGCTAGCTAGACATTTCTTACGAAAATGAGCTAGTAAATAGTAAACAGCAACCTTGTTGGAATTCGTTATGTATAAACTGATGTATTTTATCTCAGAACTCAGAAATTACATTCTATTATATTGAGGCCCACGATGGTGCTATATATTTTTGTTTTAATAGGGTGCATGTCAGATGTGTCATTTCTATTTTCTGTTTAGGGGGCAACAATTACAAAAGCATACAGTTTGGGAACTTGAAGCCGTATCTGCAAGTAAAATAAAAATAGTGGCGAAAAGCTGGTACGGTAAATTCCGCTGACAACGTGTGAATCCATGAACATTTTCGATGTCAGCCAGACGGATGCAGGAATTTTTAATGTTTTGATTGACTGTTAGGAGGAAAAAGGAATAGTTTTTTTTATTTTAATTAACTGGAGGCATATAACTGCCGAACACAAGAAACAGAGCATTGTATAATTTTCAAGGGAGTGTCTAAGTGCTAGATTTTCACTAGATTTGGTATTTTTGTTTTCTTAAAGGGGGGTTTACTCCAATGAAAAGAGTTAAAGTGTCAAATCCATCAAATTTAATTTTTAGTCCTAATTTATTTTACTGTGATTTTATCATTTAATTTACTTAATTCGTTTATTATTTTACACAGACAATAATGAATAATTAACAAGCATTTTGATGCAATAATTTTTACTTGGACATAATTTTTTTCATAACTAAATATGAAGCCGTTAATGATGAAAAACACAATAATTGATTTGGATCGTCACATGTTTATTATAATGAGTTGTGTCATCAACTGTTCACTCAACTTTAACCATAATGAGTTGTGTCAACAACTATTCATCAAACTTTAATGAGAATGAGTTGTGCAAAAAACTGTTAATCCAACTTTGATCATATTACTGCAGAAGGAATATTTTCGTGTTGCTATAAATGAACACTCAAATTTGATCATTCTATACATCCAACATTCATTCCTGAAAAAATCCATCGAACCTTCATACATCTCTCTAGCCACCAAACATAGTTTTGCTTCACGGATTCCCCTAGTAAGGACGCTGATGAGTGGCAAAGAGAAGGTGATGATAGGCAATGAGAGTACGAGTGTCAGATTGAGCATTAACATATCTATATGTTCATGATGCATGAAACCCTCTTGCATCAACAACAAACAACATCACCTTGTCATAGTTCATCATCACGAAAATCGGTAAGGCATAACAAGGAAGACGATCACAAGCGCTTGATTCATGATTATTTTAATCCAAATCTTACTTACGATGCTAGGGCGTTCACAAGGCCATACAGATGCATTGTGCCTTATTTAACCGAATCATGAATGATGTTGTTCAATAGATGCCTATTTCAAGCAAGGAAAAGATGTTGTAGGTTGTTAGTCATTTTCCCCACACCAGAATCTTACTTGTGTTTTTCGCATGCATGCATAAGGATGCTCAACAAACTCCTTGAGATTTTTTTTCAAATGGGTGAGAGCATCACATTGGACTGTATGAAGAATATCTACTAGGTCATCACAAATATTTATGGTGCTCAGTGTTTGCGTGCACTAATAGTCAAAGATCTTCATCGCCTTCTTGATCATAGTGCATAATGACTGCACATAGAAAGTACTTTTTTATACCCATATTCTATGGCTAGAATCACATCCTTTTCATATCTTTAGTGTCATATTGATCCGTGGTAGAATAGAGCCAAATTTACCTGTTCCTAAGGCCATGATCGTATTTCCCTAGGCCCTCTCGCATAACTCTTACTTTGGTAGCAAGGTACAGTTCTATTGAATAAGAGGCCGATTTAGACGGTTGAGGTGCCTCCAATTTTGCAAAACCTAAGAGTTCAAAAGTAATGCGGTGCACAAAAGTAAATCTACGCTAATTGGACGAGTTAGAGATCCGAGAAAGAAGGCGGTGCATAGGCAAATTCCCCTAGGTCTCCTAACCATGTATCCTTATCACGATCCAAGTGATGTCTTGCCACTTTTAAGAGAAATAAGCGTGTGACCAGTGACTTGTTGCTTGATGGTAAATTGGTTCATATGAGGTGTTCAACTCATGTTTTGAACTTGATTGTGAGGGATGGTTTGGATGCAATAGAGGATGTTATACATTTGATTAGGGAGAGTGTAGTTTACTGGAATTTTAGACATAAGAGGGCTCAAACCTTTTTCAAAGTTGCTAAGCAATTGAAATTGTCTTTTGAGGAAAAAAATAGTACTTAATTGTCCAACTAGATGGAATTTCACATATCATATGCTCTTTGTTGCTCTTCCATATAAGGATGTGTTCTTTCGTTTGAGATTGAGAGACAATCAATACACATTAGTTCCTTCTAGTGCTCAATGGGAATTTTCATTTGTTGTGATTGAGAAGCTGGAACTTTTCTATGAGATTATTGAGTTGTTCTCTGGTTCCAAGTATCCAACTACCAATCTTTTCTTCCCAAAGATTTGTGATCTTAGAGTGAAACTGAATGAGCGGGGCTTGATCCCAATCCTGTGATTTTTGGAATGGCAAGTAAGATGTCACTGAATTTTGGTAAGTACAAGGATGATATCCATCTTGTACTTGTTATCTCGATTGTTTTTTATCCTAGATATAAGCTGCATGTTATTGAGTACCATGCTGCAAAGTTTGGCAATATTGAAATTGATTTGGTGGCTGAGAATATCAAGCAAATAATATGTGGTATAATTCTTGATTACCAAACCAAAGTAAAAAAGAAATCTGGTTCTGAAACTGGAACTTCTTCTGCTAGTTCTGGATCTGTCTCGTCCACTAAACTTGACTTTGAGCTCTTTGTAAGTCAGAGAAAAAAGAGTATGAGTTCTTTGATTACTAGTGAGTTGGATATGTATCTTGCTAAGACTATTATTCCTTGGATATCAGAGTTTGATATGCTCTTGTGGTGGAAACTGAATGGTCTCAAGTATCCCACCTTGCAAGCAATTGCTTGCAAGGGACCTTTTGGCAATCCCAATTACCTCTGTGACTTATGAGAGTGCATTTAGTTCCGGTGGAAGGTTGTCAGACCCTCACCGGATCAAGCTGCATTACTCAACTGTGGAAGCAATGATGTGCACACGAAGTTGGATAATGGAAGACATGCAACTAAACCTCTCAATTTCATTACAACTTTATTTGTTTACGTGCTAACGATAGTTGTAGCTGAGTTTCAGCAGATTCAGAGGCTGCTATGGAAGCATTGGAGTGAGTCTTCTCAGCTATGTCAGTCGAAGATACCGCTGTGGAAGAGGCAAAACCTGGTGGTAAGAACATGAATGTGTTTTCTTAATTCTTTGTCCATAATTGTAACATTTCTAACTCTAT